CCCTCGGCGGGAGCGCCGCTGCGCTCCCAAGCGGCGCACTGTAGCAGTGAGCCACCCGGCCGGCCCAAATGCCAAAACTTTCTAAATTGTTCTATACTGAATAAACAACTGAAACAATCTCTTCATCAAACATTTTACTAGACATCATAGAAACCATTATGATTAATAAAAAAAGTTGACATTTTTATTAGTTATCTTTGATATTAAAGGCCAAGTTTCATTTAAAGATTATTTTCTGGGGCCGGCCCGGTGGCGCACTGCTAACAGTGCGCCGCTTGGGAAGCGCAGCGGCGCTCCCGCCGAGGGGTCGGATCCCACATACAGACCGGTTCCCGCTCACTGGCTGAGCGAGGTGCGGGAGCAACGCCGAGGGTTCGATCCCTTTGCCGGTCCCGGTCCGGTCCGGGCGCAACACTGAGGGTTGCAATCCGTTGCCGGTCACAAAAAAAGACAAAAATAAATAAATAAATAAATAAATAAATAAAGATTATTTTCTTCTGTAGAAAGAAACACAAAAAAACTCATTGGTTGCCTGTGGGAATAGTTGGGAACACTATAAATCATTTATACTTTCTTTTGTTCAGATTTATTAAAATCTTTGGTTGAGGAATATCAACCAATTTTATTAGTTCCTATCATCCTAATTAGAATTAGTCATCTTCTCAGAAAATTAATCGACAACCCTTCGCACAACCAAAAAAGATATTTTGAAGATTTTCTTTTTTTACCAGAACCCACATGATAAACAAGTAATTGTGAGAAGAAAAATAAAAAATAATAAAATTATAATTCAGTGTTGTAATTACTTAGTAAGATGGACCAAACAATTACTGATTAAAAAGAAAGAAACTCATTGGTATGTAAAATCAGTAATGTGATTGCTATATGCTTTGCGGCCAAAATAAGAAGTGCTGTGGAATCTATTTTCAGCAAGATGTTCTATAGAAAGTCCTGATTTATCATGGAGACAACAGGAGGAAGAAACAAAAACTTTCACATTGCCTTCTGATAGGCTATCAGGTAAAAAGTTATTCAGAAGACATTAGGCAGTTTAGGCACATGAGAATGCAGAAGCTGGGCTTTATTAAAGAAGGTTATAAATCCCAATCTGTAAAAATACAAGCTCTAAACAAAAAATTTACACAGGTTATAAAAAATAACCAAGATAATTAAAAGCCACCTTCCTCTAAAGAGCTCACTTTTACTGAGGTAAAATATGACCAATACAGTTACTCATACTAACTTTAAAAAAAAAAAAACTTTTAAACGTTTAAAAGTTTTTTAAACATTATATTCCTATGTTAGAGAATGGTACTTTCATACACTGCTGGTGGAAATGCAAAATACTTCAACTCATATGGAGGGGAATTTGGTATTCATAATAGCATACAACTGAAAACCCAAATATCCACAAAAAAGAAAGTGACTGAATAAATTACAGTACATCCATAAAATGCAATACTATGCAATTGTATAAAGCAATGAGGAAGATGGCTACATTCTGATGTGGAGTAATCTAGGATATGTGTTCAGGGTAAAGAAAGGAATGTGCAAAGTAGACTGCCTTTTATGTAAGAGCGTATGCTAATCTATGTATTTACTTATATCTTAAAAAAGAAACAACATTTAAAGCAAAAATTAATAAAAATGGCTACCTATAGATGGAGGGGACAAGAACAGAAACCAGGGTTCTGACTCTATCTTATTTTGCCTAAATAAAACCACTGCATACACATTCTCAATAATTAAAAAATATGAAAGAAAAAGCAATCCTAATATTAGAAAACAAAAAACCTAACTGCACATTAAGTTGGTGGCCTTATGACACAAAGAAAAAAATTCTTTTAAGTGACTTTAAGCACAGTATTTTGACTTTATATCCTAGTGGGATATATATCAAACAAAAAAAACCACCCCACATTGCATTTAGCAGCCTTATTATTAGTAGTAACACTGTATAGTTTTGAAACTTACACATATAGTGATAATCACATAAGTAAGGATATCATTTGAAGAACCAAGATACTCAGCATGAGAAAAGAGATAAAAATATAACACCCAAAAGTTAGATAGCCTGCACTAATAAATTCAAAATATCATCATGAATTTAGGATTTATTTTTGTCTTTCAAAACAAGTACTTCCTAGCTCTACCTACTGAAAAGGCCTAGAAGCAATGACAACCCAGTAGGAATGAACACCCTAGCATCCAGATTGTAGCCTCCAAATAATACTTTCTACTAAAAGGATCAGAGTTCCTTGGAAAAATGGCTGCTTCCAGATATGAGGCAGGAAGCATACATGAGCCGGGGACATCTTACTGTACCAGAAAACAAGAAACTATCAAAGACAAATGGGGGCAATAAAAGGATACAGGAACTAACTTAGTAATTCCCACTGGCTAAAGATGGCATAACTGGACCATGAGAAAATAAAAAATAAAAAAATAAGAACTGCAATTGATCATAAATTAAATATATAAAAACCACAATATTAAAAAAAAATTATTAATCACTTTTTGAAGTGACTAGGACACTTTAATTTGAAAATTGACAAATAAAAGGCAAGAAGCATTTCTCCTGGCTCTCCCATATGAATTTATTTCAAGGTAACTAAACAGTTCATTAAGAGGAAGTTCTTTATAAAAGAATTCTAGTTACAGATATAAAAGAATGAAAGGAAAAAAATCACAATTTTACGATCTCAATAATGGATCCAAAAATAATAGATCTAGGCAATCATCATCAATGGCTGTTAGAACCATTAAATAAAAGGGTGATGTGAAGCTTTATAACGAAAGAATTAGGCTTTCAACCTCTGAACCTATTAGGAATTAATTTTTGCATCATCAAAAGGACATCATGTGCCTCCTGAAATGATGAAACAGGAAAGCCACACACCACTTATGATGTGTTCTTGCCAAAGAAACTAAACCTGAATCTAACCAACCCTTCTCTATATCTGTGCTGTCAAATATGGTAGCCACTAGCCACATGTGGCTATTTAAATTTAAATTAAACTAAAAATTTAGTTTCCTGGGTTGGCTGGTTAGGCTGAGTTGGTTAGAATGTGGTGCTGATAATAACACCAAGGTCCAGGTTTGATCCCTGTTGTACTGGCAAGCGCCAAAAAAAAAAGTGTCTCATCCACACTAGCCACATTCCAAATATTTAACAGCCATATGGGGCTAGTGGCTACTGTAATGGACAGCACAGATATAAAACATTTCCATCATCACGGAAAGTTTCACTGCACATTCTTGCTGTATAGCTCTAACTCCTAGTCTACAGGAAATACAAGATATAGAAGAGCAAACTAAATGACATGAAGAAGCAATCTGCCAAATCCAGAATGTGGATTCTGTAATGACTAGATTTCTTCACCAGATAAGAGGGAGGTAAACAATTACAGTGGGAAGAGCTACAAACTTAAAAGATAAAAATGGATCTTGTTTTGATCCAAATTTGAACAATTTAATCATAAAAGATTTCTGAAATTGTAGGAATTTGAATACAAATTAAATATAAAAGAATTACTAATTTTATTAGGTCTAATGGTGGCATTGTCATTTTTACAGCTCATCTTTTAGAGATGTATACTGAAATACTGACATTTTAAGGTGTGAAATGATATGATGCCCGGATTTGCTTTAATATACTCCAGCAAAAAGAAAAACAAAACCAAAAGCAATTTAAAAAGCTGGACTGTACAGATGAAGATGAAGCTAAACTGATAAAACACTGATAACTGCTCAGCATCAGTGACTAAAGGGTCATTAAACTCTTCCCTCTACTCTTCCACGTTTTAAATCTTCTGTAATAAGCCATTCTAATTCCGCCTGTCATCTCCTAACACTGCCTATGCACTCTTCCTTTGACTATTTATCCTGCCCCTCAGTTTAGATTCCTCAACCCAAAACAATTACCCCTTAAGCCATCTTTAACGCCATCCTCCTTCCCTCCTTTTAGCCTATTATCTGATCAGTTACCCACTTGTTAGGACTGTATCACCTTGCTTTCATACTCTACACCCAAATTCTCCACGCTTGTCTATTTCAGTGTCCTTCACCAGGTCTTCCTAGTTTCTCTTGCTGTTATTTTCTTATTCTCCAGCATGCTTCTACAGCTCTTTGCTAGCAATACTAGATAAAAGGGCAATAAAATATTTATTCTGGGATTTGGTTCTATATTAAATAAAATCTTCTTTCATTCAGTGCTTTATACATTCTCTACAGTCAGTGAGCTCATTTCTAACAAATAGTTCTGGAATTTAACAGACCAACTACATCAAATGAAGAGAAGGATATTGCTTTAGGAAATCAAGAACACTTTCTCTGAGGATGTGTGATTTTTAAAATGACAAACAGGGCTGGCTGGTTAGCTCAATTAGTTAGAACACAGTGTTGCTAACACCAAGGATCAAGGTTTCAGATCCCCATACAGGCCAGCTGCCAAAATAAATAAAATAAAATGATAAACAGAAGATGGGAAAGATAAATAACCCACCAGACAAATCATCCAGCTTGAAATAAAGGTAAAGAAAATGACTCTAGGGATAGCGATCTTGTGAAGTTAAATCTTGCCAGTCAAATCAGTGCTAGATTAGGATCAATAACTTGTTCGCTAAGTAGTTTAATTATACCTATGCTTATTTGCCTATTTCCTACATTTTCCTTTTAAAAAATTGCATCTTGCCTCTCCTTCAGTAAAAAAAGGTAAATTTACATCTACATTAAGGAAAGAAAACAGTGTGGTTTTAGGACCAGAGTAGCTTCAGAGTTTAAGGAAAAGCCAAGAAGATAGGCAAAAGTAAAAGCAAAATCAGAAATCTAGAGACAAAGACACAAATATAAAACCCTTCCCCTGCCTTTTAAAGTGATTATATCAGAAGTGCTTAGGCATTTCCACCTTTTAAAATATTTATCTCAAAAAGCTGTATGACTGGGGCCAACCCCCTGGCTCACTCGGGAGAGTGTGGTGCTGGGAGCGCTGTGGCGCTCCCGCCATGGGTTCGGATCCTATATAGGGATGGCTGGTATGCTCACTGGCTGAGCGCGGTCACAAAAAAGGACAAAAAAGAAAAAAAAAAAGTTGTATGACTGGCTTTGAACCATGCTTAGCACAGAATTAACACAAACGAGACAATTATCAAACACTTGCTTTCGTGGTAAGCAAAGGCAACATCACTACTGACAAAAAAATGAAGTTCAGATTTCTAATGCCATTTAATTAACAATGGAATCAATAGTTCATTGAATAGGCTGGAATCTGGGTATCAACTATTAACCAAAAGCTAAAACACAGAGAGATTAGTGTTGTCAGGAGACTACTGATACCTGTACACAGCAATCATAAAACTAAAGATACCTGATTGTGCTCAATTCTTCTTTGCTTGAGTGTTACCGTAGTCTTTGCTCTGCCCTTTAGTGGTTCTCTCTTCTCAAGCTTGAGCTCTATTTTAGAGTCTGGAAATAATATCAGAGAAACCATTACTTTCTGAAACAAACAACAGACTATGATGTCATCCTAATATCACTTTGGAACCCTGGTTTTAGGCACGTTAATAGTAAAATAAGTTTGTCTATTGGTATTACCTCAATAGACCAGTTGTTTCACTGAAATATCTCAGAAAAACCTTTCTTTTCCCTTACCATTTTATTCCATTTGATTACCTCTCCCTCTCTTTAATCTGATCATCACTTCTTCCTATTTATTCTCCTTTCCTTTTTCTGGGACTAATAATCTTTAAACATAAGTGAATTCAAGTTGCTCCTGTGGAGGCTTTTCACCAAAAACAATTTAGATGTGGAAAAATAACATATAAAATGCGTGGTTGTTACCACTGTTTTGTCCATAGACTACAACTATATAGCAAAGATTAGCTATTAAATTAAAATCTGGAAAGTGGAAGAGAAAAAGATATAGTGAACTTTATTTTTTGGCGGCTGGCTGGTACAGGGATCTGAACCCTGGACCTTGGTGATGTA